TAATAATTATGATTATCATTAAAATATCTGAGTAATTGATTAGTCGATTTGTAAGTTATTTATTTTTAATTAAAAATTTATTTTTACTTATCAAATATAATCAAATAACAACTAAAAATTTAAACCTTAAGTACTTTAAGTTTATTTAATATAACATATAATAAATTTTAAGCTTAAATACTTGTAAACAAATTGTAATATTTTAACTAATAATTATATAATTAAAAAATATATTTAAAAAAACTACATTAACATATTAATTATTGAAAAAATGTACCTAGACAATTATTATATTAATGTATTACAATAGCTAATATAAAATACATTGATGAATTATTTATTTTTTTTAGTTTATTACTTAGTATTAAACTATATATATTTAAAAATAAAAAACATTTTATTAAAACTTGATTTTACATCAATCATTGATGTCATATATATATATAAAAAAAATTACTGATAATCACATTACTTAATATCAAGGTTATATTATAATAAATATAAACTTAATGTACCGAAAAAAAATCATATATTTTATAAATATTTATATTATACATTATATATAATTATATATATATAGTATATTTAATAAATAAAAAAAAGTATATAAGTATAAAAATCTTATTAGTAATTATTATAGTTTTAAAATAAAATTTATTAAACTTTTTTTTCACTTTAAAACTAACTAAACTAAACAAACATAATAATGATTCAAATAATATTAGCAATAATTAGTGGTTTATTACTATTTTATTGGTATTTATAATATTTTTATTACTAAAAAAAAATTTGTGTTTTATAATAATGTTTTGAAAAAATTATTATTATTTACAGGTATTTAGTAAAAAATAACAACTATTGGCAAAAATTGGGTATCAATGGACCGAAACCGTTGCCATTTTTCGGCAATTTTATCGATCGCTTAATAAAACCAATGGGTTATCTGGATATTGAATATATTAAAAAATATGGTCCTATTGTTGGGTAAATATATCTATAATTTAAAATAATTATAATTAAATAACAAACTAAATCAAATCAAATCAATTTAGTCTATACGAGGGCCGGGATAGCAATCTATTGGTAGCCGATCCTCAGCTAATTAAGCAAATATTGGTCAAAGATTTTCATCGGTTTCAAATGTATATAATTTAACTTTTATTTAAAATAATTTTTTTTAAAGTTATATTTTATTTTCTCTCTCAAAATAAAATTGAAATTATTCTTAGTTTTCAATAAATGTAAAACAAGTCTACAATTTAGTCTACAATAATAATAATAATAATAGTAAAAGTATTTTCAATTTTTGTATATAAAAAAAATTAATACAATTTTATTTGAATGTATTGTACCTATTATTATATATACTATTACAATAGTATATAAGTCTATATATAAAAATTTTAGTAAAATTTATTAAATTAAACTAATTTATTATATGTCTATATCCTAATACAATTTAGACAGTAATAATAATAATAATAATAAATTGCTATTGTTATAAATTTAATCATGATAGTAACTAGGTCATAAATTTTTAGAAAATAAAAATAATTAATTTTTTTATTATCTAAATATAATTATTACTGTAATTTATATAATAATAGTAATATTAATAATAAATTTTAATTTCAATCTAAACTTCAATCCTATTATATATAATATATAATTTAGGTTTTTTAAAATTTAATCGTATTATTAGTTTATTTTTTTTTGTTGTTAAAAAATTACATATGATTTTTAATAATACATAAGTTATTATTGATTTTTTTGTTGTTAAAATTATATTAATATATGGTATATACTATATTTAATGTTTGTATAAATGATAAATGATAAAAATATATATACATATAATAAAATATTTAACTATATATATATATTGATATATATATATATATATATATATATATATAAATGTTAAATTATATCAAATTATATCAAATATAATACTAAACATATAAAATAGTTTTTTGAAACATAAAAAATTAATTTAAGTCAATTAAAATTAAATAAAGTAATCAAACTTTGAAATTTCATCAAAAAATAAAAACTATAATTTACAGTACAGTATAAATTACATTTATTTCAAAATGTCATTTAAAACTAAAATTGAAAATTAAATTACTATCAATAGTATAAAATACAATACAAATAAATTAAATTTAATAAAACTTTTTTTTTAGTTAAGTAATTAAATTTTTTATTGTTGTTATTTACTAAAAGCCATTAATATATATAATAGTAATAATAATAATTTGAAACAAAATTTATCGAAAATACTAAAATAAAAAATTTATTTATTAAGTAATCAATATATAACTAAATATGACCTAGATAAAAATATAATTCAACAAAATATATTAATACAATTTCCTTTTAAAAATAAATTGTTAACAAACAATAGGAAATATAATATTATTTTATATATAAATATTTATTTATTAAATAAATAATTTGTAACCAAAAAAAAAAAATAAAAATAAAAATGTTTACAAACTTTTTTTGATGACGACTTTGATGATGACTGCGATGTCTTATTGTTTGTATTATCCATTAAATGTGAGTCAAACTGCATCCCTGGCCATCAAAATAAAAATAAAACAAAAATAAATTAATAAATAAAAATATTTTTAGTTATTACAATAGTTATTGAATTGTAATTATAATTTAAGATCTTATATTAGATTTTTTTTTGCTAAACTATATAAATAAAAAAATTAGTTATTATTATGTTATTATATAATTATATATTAAATATATGTATCATTAATTATTTTAGTTAATTTATTTCTAGCTTATCATAAAAACCATATATATATATATATATATATATATATATATATATATATATATATATATATATATATATATATATAGTAATTACTTTTTAGCTAGATCATTATTATTAGTATTATAAATGATTTTGTTATATACAATATATTATTATTTAAAATTATGTAATTTATTATATTAGTTAATAATTATAAAAAAAATAACTAAAAATTTTATTTTTAGTCTAACATTACATTTTTATTTACATATTTTAATTTCTAGTATTTAACTCTATTTTTTTATATTTTATAGTTTATTAGGAAAATAAAATTATATAATTTAAAAGTATAATTATTATTATAATGTTAATTAAATTTAAAAATTATATAATATTTTATCTTATTTTAACTATTGTTTAGTAAAAATTATTTTTATTTTATTAGTACATATAAAATATATTATTATAGTTATTATTATTAATAAATTGATTTAAATATAAAAATAATGAGACAATAATTTAGATAATATTGATTATCGGAAAATGATTGCGCAAAATATATTTTTTTTTTAAATCAATAATATTGAAAATAAAATAAATATTAATTATATGAAATTGACTATTAATTTGTTTATAAAATAAATTGTTTGTCAATATATCTAAAGTCCCAGTCCTTGAATTATACATCAATTATCAATAAATGTGATTAAATTAATATAAACTTTATATACAGTATATATATATTAATAATAATAATAAAATTACTGTATATTAATGTATATTAATGTATATATATATATATATATTTATATAGTATTTAAAATTTATGTACAAATATTGAATTTTTACCAAAATTTAATTATTTTTTATTAAAAAAAAATTTATATTCAATTATACTATTATAATAATAATACAGAATATTCTATATATGTTTGCACTTTATATTTGAATAATAAATAATTTTTTATAAAAAAAATTATGAGTAAAAATATTTAAATTATTTTTTCTCATGTTAAAAATTGCGAAATATTATTATAATATTTTTTTTTGATTACTCAGACAGTACTGTATATATATATAATAATTTATTTCAAATAAAAAAAACACATTAATATGTTTTTTTTACATTTAAATCAATTGGTTTAAGCAATACATAAGTACAGTAGTTGTTATTTTGCTACTAAATAATATATATAAAATAATAATAATAAAACTTGTAATTTACTTATAAAAAAAATAAAATAAAATTGCTTAAAAACACACAAATATTTAGACACAAAAACTAAACGCAATATTATTATTTTGTTTTTTATTTTTTGATTCATTATTTTTGTGGATTTTTATCGGTTGAACACAACATCTGCACGAATTTTATAATAGATTTTAGTTTTATTTATTTATTTGTTTTTTTTTTGATAAATTTCATGTATTTTTTTAAAAAGGATTAGAGATATATAGACTAATAATATATTAATATAATATATATATATTGGTTTTTATTGATGTAAATGTATATATACTGTATGTGTGTGTGTGTGTGTGTGTGTTGTATAAAATAATTAAATTTTTATAAATATAGATAATATACTTATATATATATATATGTAAATTGAATTAAGTATATTATATTTATTATAATAATATAATTATTAAAATAATAAAAAGTTTTATATATATAGTTAATGCAAATATATTTTATTTAATAATTATTTGACTAATATTTTTGTTTGACTCTTCTGTTAATTGAGATAATTATAATTACAATTTAATTATTCATATTTATTATTATTATTATTATTATTATATTCAATTTGTTTTATTATTGTTACATAAATTAATGAAAATATTTTTTTTGTTTTTTTATTTCATTGTTATAATTATTATAGTAATATAAAAATAATATATTTCTATATTGAAATAGATTACCAAAATAATAATAATAAATTTCAATAATTAAATTGTAATTTTAATATACTATAACTTTTTAACTATTTATTATTATATATGTTATTATTGTTAGGTTTAATAATAATAATAATATTATTATTTAATAAATACGTGTTTTTAAATTAGTTGAATTAATTATATATATATTTTATTATATATATATATATTAATAATTAATACAATAATTCTAAAAAACATTATTTTTTGAAAAATATAATTTAAATAATTGAATAATATTTTCAAAAAATAATTTCATTAAATTTCAATAAAATATAAGATTTTTTTATAGAAAATATTTTTACTAATAGATTACTAATTTATATATTTTTTTGTAAAAAGATTTTACAGTATATTGTGTTATAATAATATTAAAATCTAAAAACTAAATTAACAAAAAAAAAACTATTTCAAAAAAAACTGTGTTATAATGAGTTGTAATAAATCAAACAAAAAATATAGTAATATTGTTAACGAAAAAAAAATATTTTATTTTTTTCAATTTAATATTATTTTTTTGTTGTTGTTGAAAATAGTTAAACATATTAAGTTCAAAATAAAAAAATCAATGTAATGTTTAGACACAATAGTGTTAGACATTAATAAAAAATAATATTTTTTATATTATATAATTCATATATATATATATATATATATATAGAAAATAAATTTACCGAAAGTTTTTTGTTGTATTTTATTTGTCTCACAATTTGATGACACAAATAGCGATCCAGACATACGTCGGGGAATACATTAACACTTATATATATATATATAATTGTTGTCTATATATACATGTTATACTGTATATCAATATTAATATAAATCATATATATATTTATAGTTGTCTTATATATATATATATATGATATATAAAACTTAGATTTGACTACAAATATCAATGTAGACACTGAAACACATTATAGTTGTAGACATCAATTAATGTCTATAAAAAAAAAACAGTATAACACTAGTAATAGTGACTATAAAAAATAAAACTTTTTTTTTTATTTTCAACTGTTTTGTTTGACACATCCATTTCCCCTTTAATATATATAGACTACTAGAGTCACACACACACAATCACTTTCACCACTATTTTTTAGAGGAGATAATAGTATTATTTTGGTTTTCGACTACTAATACTACCAGTGCTGAGGACTGGCCGCACATTAAATGGATAGACAGACACATGTGATGATGAAAGTCGTGAGAGAGAGAGAGAGAGAGAGACTAAAAAAAAATTTTTTTTTGTGAGATTCAGTCTCAATAATAGATGAGAAGTCTGGATGATGTGTGTGTGTGTTAGTACAGTATTAGGGTTAAGCACATACATGAGCCCAAAGAGTGAGTGAGTGAGTGAGTGAGTGAGTGAGTGAGTGAGTGAGTGAGTGAGTGAGTGAGTGAGTGAGTGAGTGAGTGAGTGAGTGAGTGAGTGAGAGAGAGAGAGAGAGAAAAGAGAGAGAGAGAGAGAGAGAGAGAGAGAGAGAGAGTGAGAGCGAAGTAATAGAAATGCTATCGATTTTCTTTACAAATATATATACAGAGAGAGAGAGAGAGAGAGAGAGAGAGAGAGAGAGAGAGAGAGAGAGAGAGAGAGAGAGAGAGAGAGAGAGAGAGAGAGAGAGAGAGAGAGAGAGAGAGAGAGAGAGAGTCAGTGCATGCGTTCACAAAATAACATATATTAATACAGAATATTCTTGTTATTATTATTATTATTATTATTACAATATTACTAATGTATTTCTATGTAAAATATTTTTTTATTATTATTTTCTAACTATATTAATAAACAATTTTTTTTGTGTTTTTCTTGTATTTTGTTTAGTTTATATAATAAAAAATATTTATTTAATATATACATATATATATACATAGATTATATAACACTAATTTATTTATTGTCATTATTTTAGTTAGTTTTATGTTTTTTATTTAGTTTTTTTTTATGTTTTTTTTATCATACAAAATGTTTCAACATAAAACATATTGTATTTATTCAATTAAAAACAAACAAAAAAAATTGTTATAATAAATGTAAAAAACATATCCTGTTTTTTCAGGATATTTGTCTTAAACTACTGTATATATACTTAAATTAAATCATTTATTTACAACAACAACAAATAAAACATTTTTTATTAAAAAAAATATTATGTTTTTTACTAATGAAACATAAAATTTTAGGAAATTATTTTCATTAGTATTTATATAAAATGTTTTTAAAACAAACAAACAAAATATATATATATATATATATCAAAATTAAAATATTTATTTATTTTTGTAAAAAAATTTTAGTCAAAACAAATCTGTTAATGTTTTAATTTTTTTTTATAAAAAACTATTAATTATTTAATATTATAGTTTATAAACTTAATAATTAATAATATAAGCAATTGATTCAAATGATGTCTATAATTGAAATGTTAATCAAAAAATAATTTTATAGATTTTTTTATTTGATTAAATAATATTTACATTATTCAATATTTGTATATTTTATTTATTTATTTTTTAAATAAAATAATGTAAATAATATTTTTTTAGTTTTTATGTTAATATTTAAAATATTAAATAATAATATTAAAATTTATATATATATATATATTTTATTTGTATATATATTTATTATTAAATATCAAATATTATTTTTTTAGTAGTTTTTTTCTTGAATAATTTCAATACAAATATTTGACAATTTATTTTATTATTATTGTTTAGTTTTTTTTTGTATTTAATGTAACAGTAATGTAATAAAAAAATATTTAATATATATAATAATAATATTATTATTATTTTCTATTAAATAATATATATATATACAGTATTTTAAATACATTTGTGTAGGTGTGATAACATAATTATTATCATTAATATTATTATGACATTAATAATAATATTATTATTATATATTTAAAAAAATATATTATTTATAAATAACAATTTTCACAAAAAATACAAAATTATATTAATGTTATAAATAAAAAATTTTAGGTCAAAAATATTTAACTGTAAACGCCTTTTATTAATATTATTATTAATAATAATAATATTGTAAAATATTAGATATAAATTATTTTATGTATAAAACTCAGTTAATAATAATAATAATAATAAATATATGATAAATAGATAAATAATTTATTTGTTTTGCAAATATGATAATATTATATAAAATTTTTCTATAATAATAATAATAATAATAATTTATTAAATATAATTTGTCATTTATGTAAATTTCAAATTACATTTATTATTATAGTATAAGTAAGTAAATCCTTATTTTTATTTATATACAAAAATGTCAAATATATATAATATATATATATATATATATATTTGACACTTATTTCATATGTAAATACTGTATATAATATGCGATATTGTTTTGAATTATTATATTATATTTGAGTTTTTAAAAATATAAATATAAATATATATTTTATTTTATTTTTTTTAGTCAAAATTTAATCTAATTTATCATTTTAAATAAATTTTGTTTATTTATGTTGTTTTTATTGTTTAAAAACTATAATTTATGAAAATATTTATAAATTTTTTCAAAAAGATATATATTTATATATAAATTGTATAATTATTAAGATTGAATTTTGTAAACAAAATTTTCTATCATAAATTTTTTTTAAAAAACATTAAAAACTAAACAAAAAAATCTAATGTCAAAATTAATTTTTAGATTTTTTAAAGATTTTATTTTTTAAAAATAATTTATGATGATCATTTAATTTTTTGTTGTTGATTAATTTACTAATATATAGTATCATTAATCTACAACTAATATAACTTATATATATATGTAATGTTTTTTTCAAAATAAATAGAAACTAAAAATATCAAAATGTTTTTTTTGTTAAATTAAATATTTATTTGTTAAATATTAGTTTAGAAATAAATAAATAGAAAACAATTTATTATATTTACAGTATTTTTTGTTAAATATTGATATAACTATACGATAAATATTATATAAACCCTAAAAATAAATCTAAACAGTAAAAAATAGTTATTAAATACAAACAAAAAATCAAAATCAAATAATAATATATTTTAGTTTTAAATTCAAGTATATTTTATAGTTTTTTTTACATAAATAAACAATATATATATATATATATATATATATATATGAAAAAACAACTTTCTATTATTTATTTAATATTTGAAAAAGTGATAGAAATTCATATATTTATATCAATATATATATATATATATATATATATCGTTTAAAATAACAATTTCAAAGACATTCAAGACGTCCAATAAGTTATAAAATAAAACAAAAAAAATAAATAAATATAATATATAATGGTTTAAAATAATTAAAACTAATTATTTAAAAATATACATATATAATTTATTTTATAATATACAGTATATTACATGTTATTATATATATTTAAAAAATACTGTTTAATATTATATATGTAAGTATTAAATATGTGTAATATATTTTCAATTATTTAATTTAATTTAAATATTATTTTCAGTTATCTTAATCTCTCTCTCTCACTCACTCACTCACTCACTCACTCACTCACTCACTCACTCACTCACTCACTCACTCACTTACATTTAAAATGGTCGTCCTTAATGGACAGACACCCAATAAATACTGTACAATATTTAATGTCAAAAAAAATCAGATAATAAATATTGAATAAAATATTAAACAACAAACAAAAAACCTAAAGAATAGATAAATATTTAAAAAACAAAAATCTTTTTGTTTTTTTGTTATTTCATACATCACTTCATCTTTTCTTCACTTCATTTATATACCACTTCTCTAGTCTTTAGTTTTTTTTGTTCAAATCTCTCTCTCTCTCTCTCTCTCTCTCTCTCTCTCTCTCTCTCTCTCTCTCTCTCTCTCTCTCTCACTATAATTGATTTCATTGAAAAACACTTATTATATTTTTAAGAGTTTTTCTACTGTACTATACTTTATATATATTCAGTACAACAAGTAAATCATTTAATCAGAGAGAGAGGAGAGAGAGAGAGAGAGAGAGAGAGAGAGAGAGAGAGAGGGAGAGGGAGAGGGAGAGAGGTCTTACTTAGAAAATAATAATTATATTAATATTTAGTTTTTATAGTGATTTGAGTTTTGAACACAGATTACTACTAATATTTTATTTTTAAATTTAACATTTTGTTTAACATTTTTTTTTAAAAAAAACATTTTTGTTGTAAAAATTAATTAACTAGATAATTTAAATATATTTTATTTTATTTTTGTTTTATAGTTTTGTAGATTTTAGTTATAAATTTGTTAATTTTACTTAAAAATCAATAGTTTATACACAATAGTTAATACAAGTTGTATTATTCAATATGTATGTGTGTGTGTGTGAGTGTGTATATGTAAGTACAGTATGTGTGTGTGTATGTATGTATGTGTGTGTATATGTGTGTGTGTGTGTGTGTGTGTGTGTGTGTGTGTGTGTGTGTGTGTGTGTGTGTGTGTGTGTGTGTGTGTATATATATGTGTGTGTGTGTRTGTGTGTGTGTGTGTATGTATGTGTGTGTCTGTTTTGTTAATATAAAATTACTTTTAGTATATATAAACAGTGTTTCATGCAATAAACAGTACAGTATTTGTTTGTCACTTATAAAACAAATCACATATTAGTTTAACATACAGTTTATATTACTGTACTTTAGTTTCTATATATGAATTGAATGCAATTGAATGAATGCATTGAATGAATGAATGAATGAATGAATGAATGAATAAACACACAATTAAAATGAGAAAATAAAAATAAAAGTAAAAGTAAATTGATTTTTGCAAATAAATATACTATTAATACTATACACAATAAAAACTTATTAATATAACTATTAATATTAATGTTTATACAATATATATATAACAAAAATAATAATTAAAAAATACTAATAAAAAAGTTTAATATTAAACAGTTTTTACTATTAGTCTCTCTCTCTCTCTCTCTCTCTCTCTCTCTCTCTCTCTCTCTCTCTCTCTCTCTCTCTCTCTCTYTCTTTCTCTTTCTMTCTCATAAGATATGTATTGAACTATATATTGAATTAATAAATGAGAGATAAATATATAATGCAAACAAATAACAACAACAAACATACAAATAAAATAACAGTCTTTTATTATAATTATTATTTGTTGTTGTATTCAAGTGTATTGTATGTAAATATTATATATAATACTTTATATACCGGTAGATATTTACATTATAGTCTAAATACAATATACAGTATATATATATATATATATATATATATATATATATTGAGACATATAATACAATACATTGAATTGTATTTAATCAATACTATCTAACTTTCATCCAATCATTAATATTTTTGATCAAACATTTTGTATTTTTAGTTAATGTTTAGATAGTGTTATATATATATATATATATATATATATATATATATATATATTTAACAGTATATACTGCATATAAATTATAGCATTATTATTTTATTATTTATTATTATAATTTTTTTTTATAATTATTATTATTTTTTAAATTTATTTCATAAAGTTTGTATAGTTTTGTTTGAATGAATTAATTGAATATATGATATATTTTTTATTTTTATAAAAATTATTACATATGTAAAAAAAATTTTTTTTAGTAATTATTATAAGTTTTTGTATTATTTAGTTTTATTTTAGCATTTTTTTATATAAAAATATTTATGTATAATAAATTAATACTAAAAAAATAATTGCATAATTAATTAATTATCTTTTATTATTTATTGTATGTTAAAACTTGTTTAAAATTTTTTTTAATGAATAAATATTTAATAATTAATGTATAAATTTTATTTGTTATTATTATTATTTTTTTTGATACTAAATAATAATTATCATTATCATTAAAATATCTGAGTAATTGATTAGTCGATTTGTAAGTTATTTATTTTTAATTAAAAATTTATTTTTACTTATCAAATATAATCAAATAACAACTAAAAATTTAAACTTTAAGTGCTTTAAGTTTATTTAATATAACATATAATAAATTTTAAGCTTAAATACTTGTAAACAAATTGTAATATTTTAACTAATAATTATATAATTAAAAAATATATTTAAAAAAACTACATTAACATATTAATTATTGAAAAAATGTACCTAGACAATTATTATATTAGTTTATTACAATAGCTAATACAAATTACATTTATGAATAATTTTTTTTAAGTTTATTACTTAGTATTAAACTATATATATATTTAAAAATAAAAAACATTTTATTAAAACTTGATTTTACATCAATCATTGATGTCATATATATAAAAAAAATTACTGATAATCACATTACTTAATATCAAGGTTATATTATAATAAATATAAACTTAATGTACCGAAAAATATCATATATTTTATAAATATTTATATTAAACATTATATATAATTATTTATATATATATATATATATGCATGTATATATATATACAATATATTTAACAAATAAAAAGTATATAAGTATCTAAAAAATCTTATTAGTAATTATTTTAAATTAATATATTAATATATAAATATTAAATTTTTTTAACTTTAAAAAACTAAACTAAACATTATTATAATGATTCAAATAATATTAGCAATAATTAGTGGTTTATTACTATTTTATTGGTATTTATATTATTTTTTTGCTAAAAAAATTTGTGTTTTATAATAATGTTTTGAAAAAATTATTTGTTTTTTAATTTTCAGGTATTTAGTAAAAAATAACAACTATTGGCAAAAATTGGGTATCAATGGACCGAAACCGTTGCCATTTTTCGGCAATTTTATCGATCGCTTAATAAAACCAATGGGTTATCTGGATATTGAATATATTAAAAAATACGGTCCTATTGTTGGGTAAATATATCTATAATTTAAAATAATTATAATTAAATAACAAACTAAATCAAATCAATTTAGTCTATACGAGGGCCGGGATAGCAATCTATTGGTAGCCGATCCTCAGCTAATTAAGCAAATATTGGTCAAAGATTTTCATCGGTTTACCGATAGACGTGAACTTAAGACATGGCATCCGATTATGAATCGYAACCTGTTTTTTACGGCCGGCAACGATTGGCGCCGTCAGCGTAACATAATGTCCCCGACGTTTAGTTCGGGTAAAATCAAGCACATGTATCATACAGTCAGACAGTGTCTACAGGAATATATCGTTCACTTGGATCGTATGGCCAGTAATACTGGTGGTGGTAATGGTGGAGCACCGGTAGACATTGATATCAAATCGTTACATCAAAATTTCACTCTCGATGTTATAGCTACCTGTGCTTTCGCTACGAAAACCAATGCCCAATCACAGCCSGATAATCCGTTTATAGTTAGCGCAAAAAATGCCCTAACATTTCCGGTCGGTAAAACAATWGCCGGACTAGTATTTCCCGCATGGCTTAACCGATTGCTGGGTATTAGGACTATACTAAAAGAGTCGAACAATGAGTATATTTTTGAGGCCACCCGTCATATATTGAAAAGTCGTCGACAGGAGAGGGGGGGCTCCGGTAGTGATAACAAAACCAAACAAAATCGTGATTTTCTACAATTGCTTATCGATGCCAAAGCCGATGATAATCCTATTAATAATAATAATAATAATAATAATAATTATATAATAATAAAACTAATAATGATTTAAATGATAGCGAATCACATCATATAACTTATGGTTAGTTATTATAACAGTTATTATTACAGTATTTTTTAGTTTATTATTAAGTTATTTAGATTTTTAATTTAATTATATTTTTTAGTTTATTTATATTTTTTTGGTTATTTATAATTTTAGTTTAATTATATTTTTTAGTTTATTTATATTTTTAGTTTAATTATAATTTTAATTTAATTAGATTTTTAGTTTAATTAGATTTTTAGTTTAATTATATTTTTTAGTTTATTTAGATTTTTAGTTTAATTATATTTTTTAGTTTATTTAGATTTTTAGTTTATTTATATTTTTATTAATATTTAATTTTTACTTATTTTTTTAATTTTTAAATTTTTTTAGGTGAAGATGAAATCCAAGCCGAAAACCGTTTGGCAATGACAACAGTAATCACCGATAAATCATTGAACGAAACGGAAATCCTGGCCCAATCCTGGCTGTTCCTGTTGGCCGGCTTTGAGACAACTGCCACAACACTGGGCTACCTGTCCTATCTGATGGCCACTAATCCAGGTGTACAGACAAAACTCTATGAAGAGCTCCGGGATTCAATCGGTACGGACGATGAGTTCGGTTACGAACGTCTCCAGAGTCTACCCTATTTGGATGCCGTAGTCAGCGAAACCCTGCGGCTCTATCCGCCCGTACAACGATTGGAACGGTTGGCCATCGAAGATGTCCAACTCGGTGGACCTCAGGGACCGAAAATACTGGCCAAACAATTAGTGGAAATACCTGTCTATGCTATACATCATTCAGGAGAGTACTACAAACAACCCGAGGAGTTCATACCCGAGCGTTTCTTACCCGAAAATCGCGGGTCAATCGTACCCTATAGTTATCTACCGTTTGGTACCGGACCACGAAACTGTTTGGGTATGCGTTTTGCACTGATGGAAATCAAACTGGCCATTGCACACATTGTCTACCGGTATCGGCTGGTCAGGACWGSCCAAACCGAACCGTGCATACAGTTTAAAACGGCCAGCACTTTGTTGACCGCCGAAAGTATTACGGTTGGCATTGAAATGAGATAATAACTGTGCGATAATTATATTATATATACTATAATAATCATAAATATAATATATATATTTTTGTTTTTATACTATATATTTGTACTATTAATACAATTAAATATAATAATTATTATTATTTTTGTTTTTATTAAATTCATAATTATATTCATACTATTAATAATAWTWAATTTAWTATTTTTATATACAGTAATAATAAAATTTTTCGATAATTAGTACATACATTGTTAATACATAATAAATTTAAATATAATAAATAAAAATATTATAATTTTATAGTTAATATATTTATAATAATAATGATAATAATCATATTATATATACTATACTATACTGTAGTTAACAATTAATATAATTATTATTATTTTTGTTTTTATTAAATTCATAATTATATTAATTATAATATTATTATTTACTTTAATTTTCTATTTAATATATAGTTATATAAAATCTATCGATAATTAGTTAATACATTGTTAATACATAATAAATTTAAATATAATAAAATAATTGTTTAGTTAATATTTTTATTTATTTTATTGCTTAATTTATAAATTAATAATAAAAAATATTATATAAATTAAATTTTTATTAATTCAATAATAATCAAATATGATTAATAAATCAATMAAATATTTATTWAGTTATTTACTGAAAATTTGATATGAAAATCAAATAATAATAATAATAACTAATAAAATATTGAAACAAAAATTTAATTAACTATAAAATAATTTTTATTTTAAATTAGAAATAAAAAACAAAAATTATTAMYTATTTAATAAATTATTAAATATATAGTTTATTATTTATATTAARAGATATTATCTATAAAATTTTTTAATTTAATTATTAGTATTATATTTTTAATCAATAATAATTACTACCATTGTATGTAAATGTTAGTATCAATTGATTAAGATAACCTCGGTAATATAATAATTAATTTATTATGCATTAAATAGATATAAAATATACACTGTTTWAATATACACATAAATATATAATATAAACAAATTTTTYTMTAAAATTTATTACTATTTATTTTATCAATAAAWTTWTAATATTTTGATATAATATTATRCAAACAATTTTGTATATTTATTGTATATATTTTTTTGTTTGTTGAAATAATTTAATAAATTTATAATTAWTAATGTTTAAAAGTTTAGAAAAATAAATTTATTWAATAAATATGATAATCAATGTGAAAAAAATWTTTTTTTAATTGAAATATAAATATTGTACTTAAAAAATATAATATAATTATTAATGGTAAAATTTTTTAGTACTTTAGGTTTATTTACTTATTATTATTATTATTTTATTTTTATAAAAAAAAATTTAACATAATCAACATGGTGCATTAAAGTGCATCGATAGGTGCAATTGWATAATACAATKTTTAATATTATTGAATAATATGTACTTAAAAAATCATTGACAAAATACTTTAAACTAATTTTTTGTTAAACTAAATAATATTTTTAAAAATTTTAGTTTAGATAAAATTTAATAAAATTAAAATAATTATGTAATTTTAATGATTATAATTATAATAATWTWAAATTATTGTCTAGTGTACCTAGATAGWTTATAGTTGATRCAAAATAATATTAATAAATAAAATAAATAAATTTTAATTACCTAAAATTATATTGATGAAAATATATTATGTTTCATAAATAACTGTATAAAACCATTTTAACCAAAAAAATAAAATAAAAAATAAACTTACWTTACATTAATCATTAAGCAATATCAATTTTTTTATTGATAATTACCATACAGTATATATATATATATACTCAATACAAGGTTATATACAGTGTATATATATATATATATATAATATACTGTATATCTAGTTATAATAAATTTATGTAGATAATTTTTATATATTTAAAAAAAAGTATAAAAGCAATAGACTCACATTAGTAGTTAATTGTARTTTATTAAAATTAATTTTTTTTTTAAAAATCAAATTTACTTAAAGTTTTTAATTTAAAATATATTAATATTAAAAAAACAAATAAATAAAATAAAATGATTCCAATAATAATWGCATTAATTGTTGGATTTTTATTATTATATTGGTATATATTTTTCTAAATAATGTTARAAAATTATTAATTTATGTTTTTGTTAATTAATTAAAAAAAATTTTTTTTAGGTATTTAGTAAAAAATAACAATTATTGGCAAAAATTGGGTATCAATGGACCGAAACCGTTGCCATTTTTCGGCAATTTTATCGATCGCTTATTACAACCGATGGGTACTCTAGATGTTGAGTATATTAAAAAATATGGTCCTATTGTYGGGTAATATCTATATAGATATACTTTTAAAAAAAATTTATTATAAACTAATTATATCAATCAAATCAAATCAATTTAGTCTATACGAGGGCCGGGATAGCAATCTATTGGTAGCCGATCCTCARCTAATTAAGCAAATATTGGTCAAAGATTTTCATAAATTTTCCGATAGACGGGAACTTAAGACATGGCATCCGATCATCAATCGTAATCTGTTTAATACGGCCGGCAATGATTGGCGCCGTCAGCGTAACATAATGTCCCCGACATTTACTTCGGGTAAAATCAAGCACATGTATCATACGGTCMGACAGTGTCTACAGGAATATATCGTWCACTTGGATCGTATGGCCGTAGTAGTAGTAGTACGGGTRGTAGTGGTGGAGCACCGGTAGACATTGATATCAAATCGTTGCATCAAAATTTCACCCTYGATGTTATAGCTACCTGTGCTTTCGCTACGAAAACCAACTCCCAGTCCCAGCCGGACAATCCGTTTATAGTTAACGCCAAAAAYGTGTTCACATTTCCCATACCGAAAATCATTGCCGGCCTAGTATTTCCTCCGTGGCTTAACCGATTGTTGGGGTCCGTACTATTATCAATGAGGCGCCCAATGAGTATATTTTTGAGGCCACCCGTCATATATTGAAAAGCCGTCGCCGACAGGAGGGGGGCTCCGGTAGYGATAAAACTAAACAAAATCGTGATTTTCTACAATTGCTTATCGATGCCAAAGCCGATGACAATCATAATAATAATAACAATAATAATATCGATAATAAAACTATTAATAATGATATCAATGATACCGAATCACATCATATAACTTATGGTTAGTTATTATTTAATTTTTTGGTTATTTATATTTTTAGGTTATTTATAATTTTAATTATTTATATTTTTTTTGGTTATTTATATTTTTAGATTATTTATATTTTTAGTTTATTTATATTTTTAGGTTATTTATATTTTTAGTTTATTTATATTTTTAGGTTATTTATATTTTTAGGTTTTTATATTTTTAGGTTATTTATATTTTTTGGTTATTTATATATTTTTTAGATTATTTATATTTTTAGGTTATTTATATTTTTTTATTATTTATATTTTTTAGGTTATTTATATTTTTAGGTTATTTATAACTATTTTTAACTATATTTTTTTGGGGGTATATTTAAAGTATTTATTAAAAATTAAAATTTTTTTTTATAAAACTATAGGTGAAGATGAAATCCAAGCCGAAAACCTATTGGCAATGAATACAGTAATCACTGATAAATCATTGAATGAAACGGAAATCATTGCCCAGTCGTGGCTGTTCCTGTTGGCCGGTTTTGAGACAACTGCTACTACACTGGGCTACCTGTCCTATCTGCTGGCCCTACATCCGGCCGTACAGACAAAACTCTATGAGGAACTGCGGGATTCAATCGGACGGGACGGTGAGTTCGGTTACGAACGACTACAGAGTCTACCCTATTTGGATGCCGTTGTCAGCGAAACCCTACGGCTATATCCACCGCTACAACGATTGGAACGGTTGACCATCGAAGATGTCCAACTCGGTGGACCTAAGGGACCGAAAATACTGGCCAAACAATTGGTCGAAATACCWGTCTATGCTATACATCATTCGGGGGATTACTATAAACAACCGGAGGAGTTCATACCCGAGCGTTTTCTACCCGAAAATCGCCAGTCAATTGTACCCTATAGTTATCTACCGTTTGGTACCGGCCCTCGCAACTGTCTGGGTATGCGTTTCGCCCTAATGGAGGTTAAGCTGGCCATTGCACACATTGTCCACCGCTATCGRCTGGTCAGGACTGCCCAAACTGAGCCCAGCATACAGTTTAAAAAGGCTAACATTTTGTTGACCGCCGAAAGCATTACGGTTGGCATTGAAATGAGATAACTGTGCGGATAATTAATAATCATATTATATACTATACTATAGTATAGTATTGGCATTGAAATGATATAATACTGTCTATTTGTTTCATAATAGTAATCATAATTATAATGATAAATATTTTTTTGTTTGTTTATTAATTAATTTCAATTGATATCATATGATATATTACTATTGAAATATAACACTGTATATAACAAATAAACAAAAATTTTTTATATATTGATTTTTTTTGCTGAAATAAATTAATTAAATAATATTATCTAATATGTTATCTTAAAAAATAAATTTCYGATAATTATTTATATTAATATACATTATATATATATATATAAAGTTACATACAGTTTATATCACTTATATCTATCAATTASTTATGTATAGCTTTATTATTCATTAAAATTAAAAATTTTTAATATAAATATTTATTTTTTTTTTAAAAATATGTTTAATATTATAATAATGTATACTATTATACTTTAATATACTTTAATGTATAAAATGTATAGATAAAAGTACAGTTTTATTTTTAATACACTTTTAATAATTTTAATCACAATTTTTTATGATAGTTTTTTGATGAGTTGTTTGTTTATATAAATATTTTTTTTTAAATCATAATAAAATATTTATACTAATATAATTGCATAATTGTTTTTTTTTTTAATTTACAATTACAAATTTGTAGTTATTAAATAAAAATAATTCAAAAAATTTAATTTAGCTATATATAAAATAATTTTAGTTAAAAAATAAATAACATTTGTTTAATTAACAATGTTAATAAATTAATTTAATAAAGTCTAGTCATTATTTAATTRTTTTTTTTTTTGTTGAAAAATTAAAAAATTTATTACACAAGTTATCTATAAAACAAATATAATAATTACTAATTAAACTAAATATTAAAGTTTAAAAAACTAATTATATTTTCTTATTTAATTAAACTCAAATTTATTATACAGTTTGTTATCATTTAAAAAAAATTATAAACTTTAAATATTAAATAATATTTGAAATAATTAATTTTAAAGTATTTTAAATTTAGGTACAAACAGATAAATGTGATAATATATATATATATATATATATATATATATATATATATATATATATATATATATATATATATATATATATATATATATATATAATAAAGCAATTAAATAAAATACTGTAATTTCAATCTTTAAAACAAACAATAAAATAATATAATTATTAAAAAAATTTATATAATTTATAAAAATAAAATAATATTTTATACAATTAATTACATTATTTTTATTATATTATTTATTAGCTAAMTATKKTAAAATAAATTGAATTGTTTATTATATTAAAATATTATTATTAGACAAACTAATTAATTAATAATTTTAATTAGATGTTAACTAATTTAATAGTAAAAATTATAAATTTTTATAATTATTTAACAAAATAAAACATACTTTAAAACAAATATTTTATTATTATAATAATAATAATAATAATAAATTTCTAGACTATATTTCTTATTAAAAAATATAATAACTTTATTTGTTTAAAAACAAAGAGTTAATTATTTTATATACTTTTTTTATATTAAATTGTAAAACATAATAAATATCTTTAYAATAAAATAATAATAATAATAAAAWAATAATAGTTTTATCGTACATTACATTATATATAACACAATTAAAATAACCTAAATTATGTTATAACTTAATTAGAGAGAGAGAGAGAGAGAGAGAGAGAGAGAGAGAGAGAGAGAGAGAGAGAGAGAGAGAGACTATACATCATAAATGACATCATAAGTAATTGTTTTTTATTTTAATTAATTATTATAAATATTTAATACCAAAGTTATATATATATTAAATAAAAATCTAATAATAAAAAAACAAAATAATTATTTTTTTGTGGGCTATTTATAATATTATTTACTGCAAATAAAACAGTAATAATAATAATAATAGTTTTAATTAATTAATATGAAAATTACTAATAATAATAATAAATGTTTAATTAGATTCAATAATAATGGCATTCAATTAGTTAGTAATAAATTGTTAATAATAATAATAATAATTAATATTTTATTAATTATATTGAATATAAAATGTTGTCAAACGGTCCGATCATATCTGGAAACACAGGAACTGTTTGACAATCTAACAGATCCCAGGGTTTACCACAAATGGATTCGACCGCCAATTGATTTTACCGATGATTATACCGACGGTATGTTTTAGAGATGAGATAATAATTTTTTAATATTTAATTAATAATTTWTAAAAATTTTTAAAAATATAACTAACTATTAAACTAAATATCAAATTTAATTTTATCAAAGTTATTTTAATTTATTATATATATATAGTAGTTAGTTATATAATTATTTTATTATAATTAATAATTATTTAATATATTAATTAATTTTGTTTAGTTATTAAATTAAGTAATAATTAAATTAAAAAGTTTAGTTAAATATATATATATATATATATAGTAGTAGTTGTCTAACTTATATAAGTATTTTATTTTATTTTATTTGTTTGTTTAACTAACAGTAATAGATAACTAACTATTAAACTAAATATCAAATTTAATTTAATCAATTAGTTTAGTTATTAAATTAAATAATAATTAAATTAAAAAGTTTGKTTATATATATATATAGTAATAGTTGTCTAACTTTAAWGTATTATATTTTTTTATTTGTTTGTTTAAATAATAGCAATAAATATATWTTTTTGTGTATTACTTAAATTTTTGAAAAATTAAAATAAATAAATAAATTAATTAACTTAATATTAATATTAMTTGTTTTTTCAAATTTTTAGTATAAATTTTACAAATAATAATTATTTTAATTTCATTTTTTATATATAAATTATATTTAGGACCATTGTATGTAAATGTTAGCATCGATTTCTACAATTATGCCACCATTGATGAGATAACCTCGGTAGATTTTATGTTACAATTATAGTAATTGATTTATTATAATAATATTAATATAAAACTATGTTATCACTAATTTAACAAACACATACACACTCTCACACACATACATATACATACATTCAAACATATACATACAAACACATACATACATATAAACACATATATTCAAACACATATATTCAAACACACATATTCAAACACATACATACATTTAAACATATACATACAAACACATACATACATATAAACACATATATTCAAACACATATATTCAAACACACATATTCAAACACATACATACATTTAAACATATACACAAAAACACATACACACAAACACATACACTCAAACACATACATACAAACACATACATAAAAACACATACACACAAACACATAGATAGATAAACTATTAATTAATTTTTATAAAAACTACTTAAAAATCAATGACATTATAGGAGTATACGTTTCACTTGTTTATCGACTTGGAGTGGTTTGATCCGCGGCTCAGGTACTCCCTATACAATACAGTCAACTACCAGTCGCACAGGGATGCCGGTGGGTCGTCATCAACCACTATTGAAGGTGGAAACTATCACATCCAACGTATATGGTATCCATCAGTGTTTATCCCGAATAATCAGGATCCCGGTTCGTTTGACTACGATAATCAAAGTGCTAACCTATTGAAAATCTGGTCAAATGGTAAAGTTTGGCTAAGAAAACGGTAGGTGCCCAAACACACACACACACACACACACAGTCATACATATTTTATATGACTTTATAACTATGACTAACTTTATATTTTATAACATTAGTAATGATTGATATTAAATATAATAGATATTTTATGTGTATGTGTTTTATTGATATAATGTATACAATGATACAATAAATTTACACTTAAAATAATACATAGTATGGAAAAAATTCAACAATTTTTTTTAATTAATTAATTATTACTACAATTTCTATATATATCTATATATCTTATATATATATATATATATATATATATATATATATTACGAACCCCACTATAAATATATATATATATATATACACTATATACACCCAAACCAACTATCTACACTACACCAACTATATATATATATATATATACTAACTATTTACACACACACACACACACACTATCTAAACCCAAACCAACTATGTACACATACACCTACTATATGTGTATATAAGTTATATAATATAACACACTATCCTACACCCACACCAACACACTTTCAAATTATTATTATCAATAATATTAATTACTATTGATTATTATTATTATTGATTATTATTATTAATTATTAATATTAATTATTGATTATTATTAATTATTATTATTATTATTTATATATATATATATATATATATATATATAGCAAACTGTTACGTGTCTATTGTAATATGGATTTTCATTTATTCCCATTTGACGAACAAATTTGTTACTTACATCTGGAGTCGTCGGTATCCACTGTCAGTATACTTAAGTTACGCTGGAATCTGAACGTATCGTTTCGTACATCGGATACATTTCGTACAATTGGTTTCCAATTGATCGGACACCAGACCCTCAGCACCCAACAAACCTATAGTAAAAACAATACGTTCAGCCGGGTTAGCCTAAAATTTAATTTATTACGTGAATGGGCACACTATCTGTTCCTGTTTTACTTGCCTACGGGTATTATTGTGGTGGCATCGTGGGCTACGTTTTGGCTAGAAATTACATCACCCCCGGCCCGGGTCAGTATAGGCGTGACAACTATGCTAGCATTGGTTACTACGTTCAAAAATACCAAGCTCCAATTGCCCACTGTTTCCTATTGGAATGCACTGGATATTTGGAATATGATTTGTATAGGTAGGTGCCGGGGGTGGGGGTGTAGGTGCCATCTATAGGGGTGTCTACCTATCTAATAGTTTTAATTTTTAATTTATACAATTATGTGCTAGTTTAATTTTATTTTTATTTTTTGATTAATAATTAGATATACTATATATATATATATAAAGTTATTATAATAATTAAGGAAAAGCTTATTATAAATAGAATTATTTATTTATTTTAAATTATTTAAATAATTAATTTTTTTTATAAAATTAATTTAGATTTAATTTTAAAAATTTATAAATATTTTAAGTAATAATAAATAATAATAATTTTTAAATTTTCATAGAYAGAAAAACATAATTATTTATTTTATTTGTTAAACTAATTTTTTTTAGGTYTAAAACTATAATTTATTTATTTTTTTTAAATAATTAAGTAAATAGTTAACAAATATTTTATATATTATACAATAGTTTAACATAATATTACAATCGTTTTTATTATTGTAGAAAATACTAATTTACTTTTTTAAAAGTATATATTTATTATTATTATTATTTGACTTAAATTAACTAAAAAAATTTTTTTAATATATTTTTTAATATATATATATATATATATATCAAAATAGTTTTCATATTTTCATCGTTGGTCGAGTTCGCTGCCGTTAACTATATATTCAATACTGAAAAACGTAAAAAACGTATAAAAAATTTAAAACGAAAACGACARCAAAGTGTACTGAAAATAAATGATATGAMTAGAGTTGTTAACAACACTAAYAACAGTAATAACATCACTACTACTACTACTACTAAACCATCGATGACTACGASWTGTTTGGAGACAATTGTCAACAGTTTTTCGACAATCAATAGCATCGACAGCAACAATGGTGTCCATCGCAAACAGCAATCGTCGACTACTATGGCGTCGACAGGTGTGTCTCGGCATCGGTAGTTGGCATTGATATCCATAGAGTAATCAATGATATTAAAGATGAATCACTGGTTAATCGTAAACTGAGAAACGGTTCGGTTGTCAGTCGGTCGCGAACCCAGTCGACCGCTACGGCTATATCMACTGGCGGACAGTTGGTTAGCGACATGTGCGCCAATTTCAAGCTAACMCCCCAGGAGTTGGCCAACGAAATTGATCGCAAATGTCGTCTAGTATTTCCGCTGATGTTTGTCTTATTCAATRTTATCTATTGGACAGTATTGCAGATTAAGTTTTAAAATTTTTTTGAAAAAATAAATTAATTAAATTAAAAATTATTTTTTATTTAATAAATTATAAAAAAAATAATTCAAAAAAATTTACACCTAATCTCTAGTCTAGTTTGATTGACATTWGTATTACAATTATTATTTAGTTAATAATTAAATTATTATTTTATTAAATAATTAAATTATTATTTTATTAAATAATTAAATTATTATTTTATTAAATAATTAAATTATTATTTTATTAAATAATTAAATTATTATTTTATTAAATAATTAAATTATTATTTTATTAAATAATTAAATTGTTATTATTATTATTGATGTATCTTTAAAATGCTTGATTAATGTAATAATAATAATTTAGTATATAATAAAAATTATAATATTTTTTAATTAGTTTTATAATTTGCTAAAATATACCGATTAATTAATAATTAATTAATATAATAATAATTAAAAATTTTAATATTTTATTTATATTTAGATAAATAATATATATATATATATATATATATAWAATTGTGTTAATTAACATAAAAAATTAATAATTAAATGATTAAAAATATAATCTATTATAATATACTGTATATATTTTTCTCAATAACAATTGCTGGGGAAAAATACAATAATTATAAATGTCAAACCTTGATGAGTTTGTTTTAATCCCATTATAAATATTTTGCAATTAAATGATTAATATAAACTTATATATATATATATATAAACTTTATAYAGTATATAAACAGTAGTTTTTTTTATAGATAATTCAAACTAATTATTAATAACTATATCATAAATAAATATTGTACTTATATTAATGATAATAACAAATAAATATAATTATAATATTTTTTTTGTTATCAACAAATTAATTGATTGATTAAAATTAAGTGAAAGTTTAGTTTTTTTCTAWTAATACTACTGTATATTAGTTTTGGAAAAAAACATTAATAATAATAATAATAATTTTAATAATAAGAGTTATAAATATTTTTAAATAAATTTTAACATTTAATGTTTTTTCAACAACAACAAAAAAAATGATTAATTAATTATATAAGTTTTATTTTTTAATAATAATAATAATTAGCTCATACCTAAAAATTAAAACCTAATAATATGGATGAGCAACAAATCATAACTAAGCCATCAAAGTTTGATAGGTCTAACCTAATTAGCCGTACCTATGTTTTGTATGTATAGTATATTATTTAATTAATAACTAAATTATAATAAATTTATTATCAATTGTTTTGTTTGTTTTGTTTGTTTTGTTTGTTTGATTTTTTGTGGTGTTTTTTGAATTTTTTTTTTTAATTTTCAGATGGATTTATACAACATTTTTCAAAGGTTTGCGCAAAACTATAACATTTGACGACATATATCGTTGTCCTGATGACGATGATTGTCAACAATTGGTCGCCAAATTTGAGAGGTATATCCCTCCCCATCACTATAGCCACTCTCTCTCTCTCTCTCTCTCTCTCTCTCTCTCTCTCTCTCTCTCTCTCTCTCTCTCTCTCTCTCTCTCTCTCTCTCTCTCTGCTGAGAAAATAATATGATAATGATATATATATGCTAAATATTGTTGTTGTTGTTGTTGTGGACTAACTCACCACCAACCCCTCCCCTCCACCCTATCSTAGACATTGGGCTAATGAGTTGGACAGTAGTCGACAGTCGACACCAAGTTTTTTAAGGGCAAACATTAAGACATTTCTAATGAAAATGTTTGTACCGTTTTGTCTCATCGGGTTTAGTGTAAGTTTTATATATWTATATTTATTTTTAATTTAATTTTTTAAATATATATATATATATATATAAATTTACGATATTTTTAAAAAATAGTAATATTTTTTGTTGTATTSTATATAATGATTGTAGAAATTRAAAAAAAAATATTATTATTAAAATAATTAAAATACCGGTAATATTAGCATTTTATTTAAATAAATATTTTTTTCTGTTATTTAAATAAATTTTATTTGTATTCAAAATTTTTTGTTTACTGTAATTCAATGATTAGTTTTTTTAACACATAATATTAACAAACAAACAAAATATAATATAATATAATATAATATAATATAATATAATATAATATAATATAATATAATAATATAATATAATATAATATAATATAATAATATAATATAATATAATATAATATAATATAATAATATAATATAATATAATATAATAATAATAATAATATTGAATTGTTTTTAACATGTGTTAAATAGTTTTTTACTTTAAAAAAAACTAAATTAAATTYAKTATATTTATATCACAATAATAATTATAAGTATTTATATATATATATTTTGATAGATTAAAAAATTATTTAATTTTATTTAAAAAAATTAATTTATTTAATTTACTTTTTAAAAAATATTTAATTTAATATTTTAATATTTATATAGGAATGTGTGCTTAAATTGGTTCAACCAGTATTGCTCGGGTATGTTATCAGATATTTTGCCCAACCGGACAAACAGGACTACCAGACGGCCTGTCTGTATGCCGGAGGTGTTGTCCTAATTGGTTTGGTTAATACAATGGTCTATCATCCGGCAGCTGTTATCGGTTGCCGAGTGGCCACCAAAATACGGGTCACTTGGTGTACGCTTATATATAAAAAAGTATTTTCATTATTTATGGTGTGTTTGTRTGTATGTGTGTGTTTGTGTGTGAATGTATGTGTTTTGTATGTGTGTGTATGTGTGAATGTATGTGTGTTTGTATGTGTGAATGTATGTGTGTTTGTATGTGTGTTTGTATGTGTAAATGTATGTGTGTGTATGTGTGAATGTATGTGTTTGTATGTGTGTGTTTGTGTGTGAATGTATGTGTTTGTATGTATGTATGTGTGTTAATGTATGTGTTTGTATGTATGTATGTGTGTGTGTGTGTGTGTGTGTTTGTGTGAATGTATGTGTATATGAGTGTATATATATATATATATATAAATATATTTAAAATTTAAAACTATTTTACTTTTTTATATAAAAAATTAATTTTCTGTTTGTTTTTCTATCTCTAAATATATATATATTAAGGCCTTAAAACTCAAACCGTCGGCTTTCGGTAAGACAACTAGCGGCCAGATATTGAACCTCATGACCAGTGATGTCAGCCGATTTGATAAGGTATTTTAAAAAAATAAATAATTATTTATTTATTATTAATTTATTTTATTATATTTTTTTAAAAATATATAATAGTTTTGTTCAATCGGTTCCTATATAATCATTGGTCCCATACAGACATGTTTGGCTATCTATATATGCTATCTGTATATCGGTTGGCCATGTTTTATAGGACTGGCCATACTGTTGCTGTTTATACCCTACAACAGTTTTATGGGCCGATTGTTTTTGAAAATTAGGTATTAATTAGTTTTTATTAACTAATTATATTAATTAATTAATTACTAAATAAATTTTTTTTTTGTAATATCCAGATCACAAACGGCTTCACTAACCGATAATAGGATACGTTTGATGAATGAGATTATTAAAGGTATGGCCGTTATTAAAATGTATGCCTGGGAACAACATTTTGCCAAATTRATAGGCGATGCCCGAAAGTAAGTTTCCCACCCCCCCCCCGGKAAAATTTCCCGGGTATTTTACTKTTTATTTATAGAAAAAAATGCTAGAAAGTAAACTGATATTTTTTTCTTAAAAAAATTATTTATTTATTAATTATTTTTTATATAATTAATTTTTTTTAAAAGTAGACTATTATAAACCAATTAATAGATTATTACAATAACTATATGTTTACAATACTAACAGTATATACAACTTTTTTTCAAATAATTCAAAATTAATTATAAAATTACATTATTATTATTATTTAACTTATAATAATCATAATAATAATAAATTTTAAAAAACATTATAATTATTTTTATTTAGATCGTGTAATGGGATACTAAACTAGAGTTTAAATATTTATAGAAAAAATAATAATAATTAATTATTAATTAATTAATATATTAATATATACTGTATATATATATTGTATTTTTTTAAGTATTTTACTTTAAATTTTTTTTATTTTTTTTATTTTTTAAAAAATATGTATATATTTATTATAGAAAAGAGATGTCAAAAATACGTCAATCAATTTTCCTGAAGGGACTCAACTTTTCCATATCGACAGTATCCGCACGGGTCGTCCAGTTTGCCGTATTCATTGTCTACGCACTGTTAGGCAATCARTTGAGGCTGAACTGGTATTTGTGACCATACAACTGTTGACTACTATACGCTATCCGATTACCTGGTGGTTTGCCCAATCGGTAGCACTGGTAGCCGAAATAAATGTGTCGTGTGGACGGGTACAGGTATGTATGTGTGTGTGTGTGTCAATGTATGTGTGTGTTTGTGTCAATGTATGTGTTTGTGTCAATGTATGTGTGTGTGTGTGTGTGTGTGTGTGTGTGTGTGTGTGTATGTGTGTGTGTGTGTGTGTGTGTGTGTGTGTATCAATGTGTGTGTGTGTGTGTGTGTGTCAATGTTTTTGTGTTTGTCAATGTTTTTGTGTTTGTCAATGTATGTATGTATATATATATATATGTGTGTGTGTGTTTGTGGCAATGTGTGTGTGTGTTTGTGTCAATGTGTGTGTGTGTTTGTGTCAATGTATGTGTGTGTCAATGTTTGTTTGTGTGTGTGTGTGTGTGTGTGAAACATTATTGTAAAACATAATACCGTATGTACTTTAAATATTAATATATTATGTTAACAAAAATAATTTTAATAATTAATTTTAAAATATAGAATTTTTTGTTGCTTGATGAAATTGATGATAATAACCATGATGATAAATCTATTATTAATAATAATGATGATGATAATAATAATATTGAAAATACTAATAAATTAAATGATAAGTTAATAAATATTATGGTCAATAATATGTCGGCTAAATGGTTACCCGTATGTATAACTTAAAATTAATTACTATTTAATTATTGATTATTTTAATAATTTTTT